TACTTTTATTTTTATTTTTTGAGACAGAGTCTCCCTCTGCACTCACACTGGAGTGCAGGGGTATGATCTTGGATGACTGCAACCTCCACCTCCTGGATTCCAACGATTCTCCTGCCTCAGCCTCCCAAGTAGCTGGGATTATAGACATGAGCCATCACACTTGGCTAATTTTTATATTTTTAGTAGAGACGGGGTTTTGCCATGTTGTCCAGGCTGGTCTCAAACTCCTGGGCTCAAGCAATCCTCCCACCTCTGCCTCCCATAGCGCTGGGATTACAGGCCTGCACCACTGTGCCTGGCCTATTTATATTTTAAGAGATCCCTCCTACTGCCATTTGCGCAGGACTAGAGTTGAGACAGGGAGGCTCCCCAGGAGGCTGTGCAGCTGAGACAAGAACACAGTCTCTGGAATCCCTGGGTGTGAATTCCAGCAGGTTGACATACAGTCTATGCACAAAAATCCATTTTTTAGTCAATAAACTCTATTTGGGTACCTGCTGTGTGTCTGAGGGAGTATGAGGTTTTGATTGCTGCAAACCTTATCTACAACATGTAGAACAGTGCCTGACACACAGTAGGTACTCAATAACTGTTTTCTGTTGTTGTTTGTTTTTTTTGAGATAGAGTCTTGCTCTGTTGCCCAGGCTACACAGTGGTGCGATCTCGGCTCACTGCAACCTCCGCCTCCCAGGTTCAAGCGCTTCTCCTGCCTCAGCCTCCCGAGTAGCTAGGACTACAGGCGCCTGCCACCACACCCAGCTAATTTTTTGTATTTTTAGTAGAGACGGGGTTTCACCGGATTAGCCAGAATGGTCTCGATCCGCCCGCCTCGGGCCCTCAAAGTGCTGGGATTACAGGCGTGAGCCACCACGCCTGGCCTTAATTTTTTATTATTAGTAGAGACAGGGTTTCACCATGTTGGCCAGGCTATTCTCGAACTCCTGACCTCCAGTAATCTGCCTGCCTGGGCCTTCCAAAGTGCTCGGTAACTGTTGAATGACAAAAACCAACGGGCTCCTGTATTGTGACCAGAGGCATTGCTGCCACTAGGTGGCAGCATACTCCAACTGCAGGGAATTCTCACTCAGGGACTAAAATCCCAAAAGCCCAATTTTATTCTGAGTTTCCAAAAGAACAGATGTTTCGTGAGTCGGTAGCGAAAGCCACGCCTGAATTTCATGGGCACAGCGGACAGATCGGGGGCTGTGGGTTCTGGTTCACATCCGTGGGCCCCTTTCCCTCCCTCTGGGAAGGAGATTGGATTTGGTGATTATGAGGGTGCCAGCTGCCTGAAGTTATGGTTTTCCTGATATCTCCTAGGAGCTCCTCAAAGGAAATTAAACCCTAGGGACCTCTCCTCATCCTCACAAAGACCAGGAGTACAATCGGCTGCTCCTTGAGGTCAGATGACCTGGATTCCCTACGACTTACCTGCGGACAAGTTAAGCCTCATCTGTGCAATGGGCTAGAAGCCTGCAGTTCAAAGGGTAACCGGGATTTATGATGGGCTCCAGTGCCTGGCATACAGTAGGTAATAAGGAGGAGAAGGGCTGGCATGGTGGCTCACGCCTGTAACCCCAGCACTTTGGCAGGCCGAGGCGGGCAGATCACCTGAGGTCAGGAGTTCAAGACCAGCCTGGTCAACATGGTGAAACCCTGCCTCTACTAAAAATACAAAAAAATTTTAGGCAGGTGTTGTGGCACAGGCCTGTAATCCCAGCTACTCAGGAGGCTAAGGCAGAAGAATTGCTTGAACCTGGGAGGTGGAGCTTGCAGTGAGCCGAGATTGCACCATTGAACTGCAGCCTGAGCGACAGAGGGAGATTCTATCTCAAAAAAAAAAAAAAAAAAGGCGGCTAGGTGGGGTGACTCACGCTTGTAATTCCAGCACTTTGAGTGGCCGAGGTGGGAGGATCACTTGAGCCCAGGAGTTTGAGATCAGTCTGGGCAACATAGCAAGATCCTGTATCTACAACTAAACTTAAAATATTAGCCAGGCATGGTGGTGCATGCCTGTGGTCCCAGTTACTTGGGAGGCTGAGGCAGAAGGATTGTTTGAACCCAGGAGGTCAAGGATGCAGTGAGCCATGATTGCACCACTGTACTTCAGCCTGGGCAACAGAGCAAGACCCTATTTCATAAAAAGAAAAGGAATGCCAGGAGTGGTGGCTCACGCCTGTAATCCCAGCACTTTGGGAGGCCAAGGCAGGTGGATCACCTGAGGTCAGGAGTTCAAGACCATCCTGGCCAACATGGTGAAACCCCGTCTTTACTAAAAATACAAAAAAATTAGCCAGGCGTGGTGGCAGGTGCCTGTAGTCCCAGCTACTGGGGAGGTTGAGGCAGGAAAACTGCTTGAACCTGGGAGGTGGAGGTTACAGTGAGCTGAGATCTCGCCACTGCACTCTAGCCTGGGCAATAGAGTGAGACTGTGTCTCAAAAA